AGACTAGAGTGGTCTGAGCGTCATGTATACTGAGACTAGAGTGGTCTGAGCGTCATGTATACTGAGACTAGAGTGGTCTGAGCGTCATGTATACTGAGACTAGAGTGGTCTGAGCGTCATGTATACTGAGGCCCTGTTTAGATGGAGGCGCTGTGCAGATGTTGCAAAGCAATGATCAGAAACTACCAAGTTCCTTATGCAAATTTCCCAGCGTTCCGGGACGGATGAAAAACGATGTAGTTCTTGCACCCGGCCAGTAGTGGGCAGAGGAACTTTACAACACGACACACGCGAGCCCCAGCCCCCCCAGCAGTATATTCACTTCCTCAACAACATCCTCCTCAGGCCGCTGCAAAGATGTGAAAGAACGCACCAACGCAGCCGCGAAAATGTAAACTGAAACTAGAGCTTTGCGTGGTTTTGTTTGGACAAATGAAGGAGAAGAATCCTCCTCCGTGTAGCGCTCGAAGCACACGGAGCTAGTTAGTGTAACCGCCACCATTGTTGTTTACGTTTGTTCTCCACTGCTGCGCATGTCCAAATGAATGAGCCCCCCGCTGAGCAGCGTATCAGAGCCGTACCACTCTGTAGGCTGGATCTCAACGCTTACGTTTTCACCCCCTTGGAGCACAGTCCCCATGTAAACGGGAGGTGGCAGCCGACCCCCAACTATCCTGTTTTACTGCCGCAGCGTCTCCGTCTAAATGCCTCTTGATACAAGCATGAATTTGATTACTCAACCATTGCTTAAACTTAAGCCCCGTCCCAATTCTCACCCTTGCCCTTAAAAAGCACCCTTGCCCTAGATTTTATGCGTGCCCGCTGGGGTTGTATGGTGTCCCAATACTTAGGGAGAAGAGGGCCTTCACACCCCTAAAAACCACCCTTGAGCGCGTGTGAGGTCCGGAGCTCACTTGCGAGCGAGGGTGATCCCATGATGCATTAGGATAGTTGTTGGTAAAGCAGCTGTTGGGTAAAGCCGCCCCACAATGAAAGAAAACAACATGAAACACCCGGGCGCAAGTTTGTGCGAAACATGAGGAAGCTTCGAAGCATGTGCGAGTCTTTCAGAGTTTTTAGTGTGTGTGCGGTGACGGTCGCTCCCAAAGCGGCCGCAGCGTGTGGCGTTCACTGAGGCTTCAGAGACGTGGTGCATGTTATTATGATAGATCCATGTGTTATTATGATAGATCCATGTTATTATTATAGATCCATGTGTTATTATTATAGATCCATGTGTTATTATGATAGATCCATGTTATTATTATAGATCCATGTGTTATTATTATAGATCCATGTGTTATTATTATAGATCCATATGTTATTATGATAGATCCATGTTATTATTATAGATCCATGTGTTATTATTATAGATCCATGTGTTATTATTGTTAAGTCAATCTCGGCTTAAATCTAAACATCTTTCTAATCTACTCTTTTGGCTCTGTCTATCTTCCAATCTCTTTTGTTATTTTAAGTTTAGCCTGTAGATGGAGGCATAGTTAGAATGGGACCAGTAGTCTGGCAAATAATTAGCCAAGTTTGTGCAGGTGTGTAACCACACACACAAACTGAATGCATGAAGGTGAACACAGATGCTACTGGTGAGTGAAGATTTCTGTTTAAAAGCTTAAAATAGACAAAGGCCTCGTTTTAGTTCATTTGCTATCAGGAATGTAACATATTTTGGCTAATTCAACCACTTTGAGTCACCCAAGTGAGGGGTAATATTATTTAACTTATTTCTCAGTCTAGGCACCTCAACTCTATTTGGCTAATATCTATTGTGGGTAACTTTCAGTTAATTGTAATAAATATTTACAAGACATTATCTTTAACGTCTCACAATCAGTTTAATTGATTGGCTCTCTAAGTTGAGTTAACAGTACAGTCTAAAATATTTGTAATTCATTTATTTGTTTAAATAATCTTCAATCTAAAAAGTTAGTGTTATGATCAAATACAATGTTAAAATATTTTGGTAAAATTTGTAAAAACTAAAAGTAATTAAGTTAAATTCTAAAAGTATTTGGACCGCAGTTATTGTAATAAAACATTAAAATTACGATGAGTATAATAAAATTCAAGTTAAAAACATTGTAAAAATAGTACAAATTTAGTTTAAAAGTATTAATTCATTCTTTAAAAAGTAATTAGATAAAATCTGTTTATTAAAAATGTATATTTTCTCCAAAGGTTTTCGACCTGCTCCTGTTGCTACTGCTGATGCAACAAATGACAATAAAAAGTTAAAGCTGAGTTGAACCTGCGTCCTTGTGTTCATTGGTTTTTCAAGTCGAACCTGCATTCAGACATCAAAACTTTAAAGGACTTGACAGTCGAAAACCACGCGTACCTGCACGATAAAGGACAAAAGTTATAATCCAAGTGCTTGAGTGGACGCAAAGGCAATATGGCTGAAGATAAGTCAAATAAACAGCTCAAAAAAGAGCTCACTATTGCAAAAAGTCTCTTCACAAGGCAAGCTAATGTCATGGAGCGAGAAGCAACCAATATGGTTCAGAGAGAGCTACAAGAGGAGTTCGACAAACTGTCTGAACGTTTCACTGTACTCACGGAAGCAAGTGACAATTATTTAGCTGCAATAATGTCTGATGAGGCAAAGGAAGAGCAAGAGACAATACTTCACCAGCAGAAGGACATTGAAATGACAATTACAGACGCTGAAGAAAAACTCAAAATGGAACAAAGCAATCGTACAAAAAGTCCTGTGGTCAAAGTATGGAGAAAAAGCAGTACAATCATCTATCCGGGATGCTGAAGACATCGCTGAACGGACAAATGAGATACCAATTCAAGGTGGGAATCTGGACAGCTATGGTGTGCACATGGATATTTTTAGAAAAAGCACTGAAAGGAGCTGCTGAGACCATGTTTATCTGGGAAAGATGGAGTCCTGGAGATGAGAGAGAGTCACTGTCAGACAGGATCGACAGAATGAAGACTGTAAAACTCAAACTCGAGCTGAAGAGGGCCAACTTCGTAGCCGTAAGACGAGCTGAAGAGGAAGAAGTGGCTCCAACAGGGGACCCGCAACACCCACAAAAACACCAACCATGCCAATTGTCAAAATAAAACCCACTTCCCTCCCAAAATTCAATGGCAACAAAAGGGACTACCACAGATGGAAAAAAGACTGGGAAACCCTGCAAAAACAAGGGGAACCAACAGGAATCAGTGGAAGTCAGGAGAATACAGCTTATTGACAGTGTGGAAGAGAGGATAGTAAGAGAACTAAGACTGTCAACTTACTCATCTGCTGTGGACATGTTCAGGGTGCTAGAGAACAGATATGGCAATAAATCAGCAATAGTAATTG